GTATAAAAATAGATTGTGCTGGCATAAATCTGTTTCTATGGTCATTTAAAGTTTGATTTGTTTATAATCTTATAATGAATCGGGTACACCCTTTTGCATTTATACGTCTGTAATTCAGCAGTTTTGTGCTTTAAACGTATAAAACAGAAAAATAACATATCACCTCTCTTCATGTTCCATTATTTGTTTACTTTGAGGCTTTATCTCTATTTCTAAGGTTGCAAATGCACAATAATTGAAAGACAAAAATATGGGCCAAATGAAATACCTTAAGTTTGTAATTTGTTATCATAAAAGAGTAGAAGTATTTAAATTACAAACTATCAGATAAAGACCGAATTAGGTGAAAATCTAATATATTTTTAATAAATGCCTCTACCCCTTTTGAGACGCAAAATCTGACATCCCGAGCGACACATTATATTTTGATGAAAAAATTGGTTTTAAAACAGAAGCTGGCATTTGGTTAAATTCCATGATAGGAATTCATTTCCTATATAAATCATACGGGAAAAATCGTCAAAAGTAGTTTTTAATCCAAAAACTGGCATATGAAGCCACAAAATCTGCAACACAGAAAACTAGGGAGAGATGTTTGAGAAAACAGAGCACTGAAAACGTTTGTATCTGCTCAAAGCCGACACCCCGCATGTGGCGTTCCACACGGTGAAGATGACCCAAAGAAATTCGTTGACCGAAACAGTTACAAGATAATCGCTCCGTTTGAAGTCCTGATGTTTCAAAATATCGAGTTCACTCCTTTTAGATATACAATTTCTTGGTTTCATGTAGAGGTGTTATAATGATGGTTTGTCATTCGCCTGTTTATGCAACTTTGTTCAATGTATGTTAAAGCCTTCGGTACAGACATATTGACACGTTGCCATGTTGGCGGGTTATGATTATGTCTGGACTAAAATCCTGATGACATAATTCGATATACTTTTTTACTTGTAGGAAAAATGACTTCGAATTTCGAATTTCATGGAAGAACAAAAGTTGAAACAAATTATTTTAAAGAGTAAGATATCTGAACAAGATAAACGATGACTGTACCCTGACCTTAATGTCGTGCACGGAAAAGATGACCATGACTTTATAATTAATTTGCTGACTTAAAACAGTAAAACAAAAGAAGTTGGACATAAGTGTAACCCAAACATTGATGATTCTTTATTTAGTTTATATATATTTTATTTGCTCAAACCAAAAAGAATCAGACACAATTAAAACATACTCATAAAGTCTTCTCCACAATACAATATATATAAAAATACAAATTGAATGTGTTAGATATAAGAAGATGTGGTATGAGTGCCAATGAGCCAACTCTCCATCCAAGTCACAATTTGTAAAAGTAAACCATTATAGGTCAAAGTACGGTCTTCAACACGGAGACTTGGCTCACACCGAATAGCAAGCTATAAAGGGCCCCAAAAATGACTAGTGTAAAACCTTTCAAACAGGAAAACAAACGGTCTAATAATATATGTATAAACGAGAAACGAGAAAAACTTATGAACCACATCAACAAACGACAACTACTGTACATCAGATTCCTGAAGAGGATAGGTGCAAACAAATGCAGCGGGTTTAAACGTTTAAATAGGTACCTACCTTCACCCTTATCTGAAACAATAGTGTAACATCACAACATAGAAAGACACACTATAAAATATCAATTGAAATGTCTTAACTCTATCTAAAGACATATTAACACAAGTGAACATACACTGAACGAATAAATTTGATCTATGACACAATGTAAATACAAAATCAATAAAATAAGGGGTTAGATGTTAAACAATTTCAGAAAACAACCATAACCTTGAATAAAATGCCGCCAAATAGAATAATGTAAACAGATAAATGAAAATAATTTTATTGTAAGGTATACAGTATAAATAGAGAACGGAAATATTTTTTACAAAATAAATAATTGTGTTGTTCATAGTACGAGAACATAATTGAAAATTTATAGTCATACCAAACACTTATCAAAGCTGGTATTTATCAAAAAGAGAGAGACGAGGTATAATACTAAATAAGTAAACATTAAATAACAAAAAAGCATTACAAATTGTATCAACAGGTCAAATAAACAAGAAAGTACAATTTGACAGTACTCGCAGTTACTGAAAGCTAGTTTAAAGCCAAAAACAATTAATAATAAAAAAATCATGCATCAGAGACTAAAATCAACTAAAACACATCCCAGGGATTTAGTATTTTAACGTCATGGACAGTCAAAGAAGACATGACTTGTGCAATGCCAAAAAGAAAAGGTATCGACAGACAGTAGGATAGTTAGGAGTGTGATGTCTTTATACATCCCGTTTGAAAAGAATACAAAATTAGTTATGTTTTAATTTGCCGATGAAAAAGTCGATATTTGTGCCAATGTAAACTATATTCAAAGATCTAATTACAACATTGAGAAGATATCCTTTACTAATAAGTTTATTTAAAGGTTCGATGAGTTTACACGGATCACATAATGATTTCCGCGCTTTTAGTACAATATTACAGTAAAATTTAGGATGTGCAATATCGTTTTTAATAAGTTCTTTAGGTACAGCATGTATTATATCATATAAACAACATACATATTACTAAACTATACTGAAAAAAGAACAAAATGAAGAAAGAACGACAGAGATTAGAATGATGATGATAATGTGTGTTTTACCTATGTTGATATTATACTACCAGGAATCGTTTTGATATCTTTATAAAATTGAAAACTTGTTTAACAATTTGCACATTTTTATCATAAGAAAGAGTTTTTTTTTCCAAAAACCAATAGTTTTAAGTCTAAATTGCAGACTTCTGGACTCTAGCTGAGACTATTAAACAGAATAGCCTTTCAATTTAATAGAAAAGACAATCAAATCAAAAATGGTGCATGTCCTGTATATCCAAACCACATTTACATGTTGGATCAGATGTAATGTTAGCTCTAAACAAGTCACAATTCAAAAAAGATGCCGGACATCTAAATGGAGTTATGATTATATTCAATGTTCTAGGACCATATGAATAATGTTGAGATTGATTCTCATTTCGACTGTTGTGGTTTTATAATTCTTCTTTGAATTTTGATATTGAGTCTACATTTCGAACTGACATAATCAGATTATTCCAAAGTTTATTTGTTGGGGGGATAAATGATTTAGAAGTCAGTGTCAGTCTGCAAAATGGTGAGATAATATTCTCTCCATTTCGAAAGAGATATTGTGTTGTTCGTTGAATTTTAGGGGGAACAAGGCTGACCGGATATTCAGGTGCATAATTATTTTGAATTTTATAAAACAATTGTAGTTTTCTTCTTTTTCTTCGTTCCTCTAAAGTTGATATTTGAGAGTTTGCAGTACATTCATATGCTTTTTAACACTATTTAATATATTTTTGACATGGTTGTTCCATTTTGCGTCACTTCTAAATGTAACCCCTAGATGCTTATGAGATTGCACAATTGATTTTTTTTTTTTAATTTTTCATAGTAAAATTAATATCTTGTGTCTCATTATTTCTGTTTTTTTTCTGAATTGAAAGACATAAGCCACTTTCTTGACCATTCATCCAGCTGTCTCAGGTTACGACTAACAACTGATTGTATAAGTTCTTCGTCATGACCCGAGTAACTGAATGAAGTGTCATCTGCAAATAGTCTGCATAAAGAAGTTAACTTTTTAGCAATATCCTCAATATATACGATAAACAATAAAGGACCGAGAACTGATCCTTGGAGTACACCAGCTGAAACATTGCAAACATTCGAGGATAATTAATTAATGATAACAGTTTTATTTTCTTTGATAAAGGTAGCTAGTGACGCAATTTAACAGATTTTCCTCAATGCCATATGATTTCATTTTATGTAGTAAACCCAGATGCCTAACTTTGTCGAAAGCCTTCGAAAAATCGCAAAAAAAAACAACAGCAAATTTCTTTTGTTTCTAGTGCATTTACGATACAATCCTATATTTTTAATAAATGATGAACTGTTGATTGTTTTGGCAGAAAACATGACTGGTATTCATAAATAAGTTTTTTATTAAAGAGATGATTATAACGCCACAGTACCCAATTTGCACCGAGTACGACAATTGCACCTATTCTACAAAAATAGCTGCGGAAATCTTTCAAGGTGTCTTTGAGACTAAACAATTTGTATTTTTATGATTTGACATTGTGCACGTCTTTCAACATAGGTAAATATATTTAAATATACACAAAACGTTCACAATATATATATATCAACAGATGAAACATTTACTGGAAAAAGTAAATCTACGGAAACGTCGCCATGCGACCTTCTCAAAAAGTCATCTTTTAAAAATGAGCAAATTAGATATGTTACAAGCATCCATTTCTTAAAAAATGAATACTAAGCATGGACTAATATCGAATTGTTCTAAATATTTGAAGAAATAGAACAAAACATCTGTTATTCGATTTTTAAGGATGTGAATTTAAGCATGGATGCAATTTGGGTTCTCCTCATTACAGAATCATGGATCGTTTGGAGGTCGGTTCAAACCCATTTTTTATGATTCAATGTGAATTCAAAATTAAATTGGTATAACTATATAGTAAATAAGGATACGTCTACAAAATAAACACAGAATGGAAACTATTGTCTGGATCATAAAAAAATGTAGGTGAAAAAACCGTCAAAATAGGTGCAATTTGGGTACCCTCACGTTATACATATTTAAAAACAACTCGTTCCCTAACTTTCCCCACGCATCTAGTTAGAGGTGAATCCCACTCACATTAATTTGCAATTTTCAAGCTGGTTAGATATACACATTAAATAAGGGACCTGTTGAATATAATTCGAAGAGGTATCGCAACTTTATCTGATCAGATCTGATCAGATCTTGACCATCCTGTGGCAAATCACATCTGGTCCCGATGCTTTATTTGGATCAAGAATATTAATCATATCTCGTTTTCTTGAATAGAGACATGTAAGTCACAAATTGTATCGTCAGGTTTACTTTCAAATTAAATTTCATATAATTTGGAGATTAAGTTAAAATACTTGTTTAAAAGTGGATTCTTTAAGAGAACGTTTTAAGATATTTAAAATTATATGACCCTTATTGATATAAAGATAAAGATGTGATTGCCAATAACATAACTATCTACCGGAGTCAACATTACGTTGGGTGTAAACAATTAATTAACCGTACGAATTTCAACAATGATTAAAACATTGGAAACAGACTGATTTGTCCAAAGATTGGCCCGCATCAAACACACCTTACAAAAAGACGACAGACCCACAGTACCGATATAAGAGTACTCGGAGTAACTACATGTAATTGGAATCCATTTACAACTTATACACAAATAACGTTATCCCAGAATGAACTATAAATCAGTAAGCATCTAATGGATTTAGTGTAAATAACTCATATACAGTCTGAGAAATGCATGTCCTTGTGTAATTCAGCTACATTATATCATTAGGATGTAGGACCATAACTTTTTTTAACTGTAAATACATATTTGGTTGTTTTGTTTTTTATCATAGTTGCAAATGGATGTCTTTACGGCTCCATATCGTAAGTTGTTGGTTATAAATGTTATAAATTTATATGGAAACTTATACTGTTAACTACTATTAGCATAAGATCACAAAGGGTACAATCCGGAGATATTTCAGGTGTTGTCGCCCCTAACATATCGTACAGTCGTCGTGCTTGACCTTTTTAGCACAAATGTTTTAGTTTTAAGTGGAAATGCTATTAATTATGATTTCAACGAGGGTTTATGTTTTGGGTGTTCTACTCAGTCAATCAAATTTATATCATATCACATATATGAACGATATCTAGTCCCATTTCTATTCTCAATTTTATCTCATTTACTCTTGAAAATGTCACGAAAAATACATCGCTTTTCGTTGTTGATAATAAAACGTCTTAGTCTATGGTGCTAAACTTTTTTAAAAATTTTTGTTATCCATTCATATGATTTAGCAATAATTCAAAACGGAGTTCTTATAATGAAATATTCAAGAAAAACTGTAAATTTATTACGGTAACTAACTGGATCCGAAATAAATAATAAAATGAAGTGTTTATCAACCTTCATCGAAAATAAATGTGAGAAGTTTTGTAAGGTTATTGTAGATTCTTTTTATCCAATTGTAAAACTTACGGTTCGGAAATCAATTAAGAAATTAATAAAAGGAATGATAATTTGTCAATATCTAGGACTTGAAACTACCTCAGGTAGTCGTACAGCGTTTTAATATTCGTGCTCTTTGATAGAGGTGATGGTTATGAAGTAAATGCTGGACAAATATGAATTTATAAATTCGTCAATATTCAATGTTTTTGGCTCTTCGGACAGTTACACTTTTTAATAGTCGGCACATCTAAACTGAAGGTTAAATTCAACAGATGTCGTTTTCGCTATCAAGGCTTTTGTTCTGACATTTGAAAAAAAGGTGAAGTAATAATAAAACTATCCCAAGAAAAACAGCTCCAACAAATAATATAAACAGTGATATCATCAATGTACTTGTCCTATCCACTGGTGCTTTTATGTTATAGTCTGTATTATCTAAAATATATAACAGTATGTCTTGATAATAATAGCATAATCACCTTGATAAATGGGGTTTGTTTATATTAAATACGTTTCCTATCTTAAATTTGTATGACACCAATTGTTTTTTTTTTCAAATCTTGAACAATGTTATATGTTGTTTATTTGAGAAAGGGTCTTTAAGTGATTAAAGATCCCAATGATAACAGTGGTAAGGAAATTTGGTGACTTAAGTCTTCAACCAGCAGTAATACATTGTCAAAGTGGAGTGTTCGATTGGCTGTGTGGGAAGTAAACATACGCTGCGCCATCAATAATAAAGCAATGTATGTTTTGATGTATCCAACGACAGATACTAGTATATCATTTTTAGAGTGTAGGTTTCAAAACCACAGTGTACTTATAATCAAATAATGAGCAACATAGCAATCAGTGCGTTTTCTTCACAACCAAAGAAAGTTCTTTCTATAAATAGTGTGATAGTTTTGTTATGTTTTTGTTCATGTTATCATAGTGGAATTTGACATGTTGCCTTTCATAACTGCAGATAATAAACAAATATAACAGTACCGTTATGTGACATTCGAGATGTTTAAATTTGCAAATACAAGTACAGTAAAGATACATTGTAATGTTGATAATAACTTTCGATACAATTAATTATAGTGATTTCCCAGTAAGGTAAAAATCGATAAGTTTTCAAATGAAATAAATCTAATAATTTCACTCCTCAGACGTTATACTACAATTGGGGGTGTTAGGACGTTATGGATAACCATGATAACATTGAATCAAAACAATTGAGAATGCGAATACAGTTCCACTTATGCTTTACCTTCTTTTCCATTTAAAAAGTCATGGTCAATGTTATAAAAAGAATAACTAATCCAAGAAATAATATTTTTAACTCGTTACCGAACAACACTAATTCTAAACTGATGTGCTACTCACACTTGTGACTTAATGTGTTGTTCGGTCACTCATTGAATATTTTTTCTATATTTATATATCACTAAGAAAGTTAAATAACAATGTACTGTACTTACTGCCCTGAGTATCACATATATGTGTATCAATTAGAATATACTTCGTTGAGCCAACAATACATAGTACTTTAAAAGCACCGCAACCTAGGTGTTCTACTTTATGACTAGTGTTGAATTCAACGTTGTAGAATAACTCATCTTTTTTTACTTTGGACGGTAGAGTTGATAAAAGATATGTATCCTACAATAAATAAATAAATACAAAGTCATTATCAAATAAGTTTAAGAAAAGAAAGTATGGAATAGCCTAAAAAAATGTCCTACTTTGCACTAGAAACTTAGTTACATATTTAAAAAGATTTGAACACTCATGTATGTATCTTTCAAACTTTTTATTTATTCTATCGTCAATGATGAGTCTTTTGTAGAAGAAACGCACGTCGTCTGGCGTACAACGTTTTAATCCTGGTATCTATGATGAGCTTATTTAGATTTTGTGTTTGCGTTATTCGTGTTATTTATTGATGGTTCCTAATCTATTTAAGGATTGACTGTAATATTTTTTTCTGTCTATGAAGAAATAACATCAAAAAGGTGGTGCACACTGAATAACCCGCGTAGCGGGTTATTTTAAAGTGTGCACCACATTTTTTATGTTATTTCGAATAGAAAGAAACAATGTTACAGTCATTTCTTATAATTTAATTCTAAATTCCATTTTAAACCGTAGTAAACCATGAAAAAAAACGTTGATGACGTCCCGGTCACATGACAAAATTATGTCTATCAGCTGATAAACAAAACAACGTCAGCCAATCAGAAGACGCGTTACATCCAAAATTAAATTATTCAAAATTGTTAATCATGCCTGTTTACTTTAATAGAGGGTATTTTTTCTGCAACATTAAAAGGGTTGAATCGACACGTGTAAATCTTTCAAAAATGTAAAGTTGAATCTGAACAAAAAATACTAACTTAGTTTTGACCGTTGAACTATTTTTCTGATAAAAAATTGAACCTGTTGTAATAGGGAAAGGTGGACTATGTTTAAAAATGAAAATAATTTGTCTTCATCATGTTCATGTTACTGTTAAACTTATTTTCAAACATTCAAAAATTTACACGATTTCGATCTTATTATTTACATGTTCGTAGCAAGCGTATTCATTCGCAATCTTTTTTAAAAATTCTTATTCAAGACGCTGAAGAAATGCGATTATGATATCTCTAGAAAAATTAACTTAACATCACACTAAATGTTATCCAAATACGTTATTACAACAATTGATATTTCAATAGAAACAAATGTAAACAAGTTATTACAATTTATTGCCACTTTTAATGGTATGTCCTGAAATGTAATAAGTATTTATCCTGTAATCGACATTTCTACAAAACAAATGCCGGTTAACGGATAACTAACAACGATCGATACAAAGTGTACGTTTGTATCTCTTTATATCTTTTGCTGCGATCAAACGGTTATGTTCAAATAACTTTTTTCTTAAAAATTCAATTAGATGTCCTCATCGTGGTCCGGGTTTTAATCATGTTAATTCATTGATCAATTTGGGGAAGATCAAAAATCATACGTTAAACATGTTAAAATTCATTGTTAAATTGCAGACTACAAACAATATTCGCACTGTGAAGGGAAATATAAAATTTATTTGGCAAGATTTATACTCAGGAGAAACACAATATGATATATCTATCAGATAACATGTCTGGTGTGTTGTTTCGATTTAGACATTTAACTGACAATCATCAGTTGTAATGTTTATGTGTACTGTATTGTGTCTTACACGATTGCATTCGAGCGTTAAACTTCTGACGGTATTTTTATTTTCTTATTCTTGATCAACATTTTACTCATTAGTGATACTTTTACATACTGTAAAAAAAATGGATTTTAGATATATGTCCGATACCTGAAATACATTTTTCGTAGATTATCTGCTATTGAGTTAACACAATGCTAGTGCATATGACAAACAATCTCATATTCGGATAGTATGTTTATCTTTTGAAAAGTAATATCGACATGTTTTACTTTTTCATTTTTAAACCCTTCACTTAAATAAACTTTATCACAGAAACAACAAATACTAGTTTTGAAAATTAAAATTTATATTATAGTTTTTTTTAACGAGACGGAAACATTAGTAATGTATAAAATGCATGCTGTAGGTAAGTGTATACAAAATGTTTCTACTTCGAATACTATGGTTATCTTTCTAAAAGTAACTTTAGGTCTGGAGTATTTGTCATTTAATCGATTGATCCAAGGTTGCATGAACATGAAATTATACATTAAGGTAGATGGGTGTGGGGGGGAAGGGGGGGGGTGCAAAATCAAAATTCATAGATTGTTTTAATGATATGTCCAAATATAGTTTATCTCATGCTTTATGCAAAAATATTATAAAATAATGGGTGATCGGACTTTTTTTACGCTACAGGTTGTGAAAAATTGTCAGAATTGGTATAGAGTATGCATTGAAAACTTAATTGAGTGTGATCACAAGAATACCGAACTATAGAATTTTAAGATAACATATGAGAAAATAGCTCTAATAGTATGCTTGTTCCTTCGACCAACTCCCCATTTCCATTCTCAATTTTATTTCAGATAAGAAAAAGAAAACATGGGATCACCGGACTCGTTTTCTTACTATATAATAAAATAGGTAAATTCACAACATATTCTATCATTAAAGGTACTATATTTGAGTTATCTCCCCTAAAATCTAAGTTATCTCCTCTTATTTGGCAAAATTGAATCAAACAAAAATATTGTGTTTTTTGTAAAATATGTCGGAAATATGATAAAACACATATTTTTCTATATAAACACGGAACGTCTCACACATGGGTTACATCCTAATCTCGAAATTTGCACATTTCAATCAAGATCTATACCAAATGTTATCTGCTATTTCCAAAATCCAAGATGGAGGGTTATGATAATGGGGGTTTTTAACAACCGTAACTGGCTATAAAGCCCTTGCACGTTCGGTGGTGGAGGAAGACACCCCAGCTACCTTGAATATATCCATATATCTTAAAAGTATTCTCACAAAAGGAGGGATTGTGCTTGATTTTCATATGATGAAGACATAATCTTTCTATCAGTTTAATTGAGGTCCGGAGCTGGAATTTCAGTAACTTCTAGTAGTCCTTTGTTAATTAAGGAATAATTGTCATCTGCTTGTTTTCTTATGTTACCTATTCTGACATCGGTCTCGGACTTCCTTTAAGTTGAGTTTAACTGCGCGTATTGCTGTTAGTTTGTTTATTTTACATTGATTAGATTTAAACGGGAGGGTAAAGATCTCAAAACACATGTTTAAACCCGCTGCATTTTTTGCGCCTGTCCCAAGTCAGGAGCCTCAGGCCTTGGTTAGTCTTGTATGTGTTTTTTTAATTTGTGTTCATCAATATGTTTCGGAGTTGAGTGTGACGTCCATTTTCACTGAACTAGTACACATTTTTGTTTACCGGCCGGCTGAAGCCCGCCTCCGGGTGCGGGATTTTCACGCTGTGTTGAAGACCTAATGGTGGCCTTGGACTGTTTTCAGCTCTTTGGTCGGGTTGTTGTCTCTTTATCACATTCCCTATTTTCAATCTCAATTTTATCATGTCTTTACCTTTACCTTGAAGCAAATAGAACAGCTAGGAATAGGATGAACTTTTTTCATTAGTATATATACATTTAATGTTCCATAGCGCAACGTGTAGTTCAGTTCCTGTTTTTGGTTAGTCGGATTACCTATGAAAAGATAACATAAAAAATTAAATTGCAATTGCAAACAATGGTGATTGTGACCGAAAATGGTTACTGACAATAGCAGCCAATTTGAATCTTCTTACAATAACTACAAATATACATGTTATCATCAACGTTTGCGTTTGGGTAGACATGTTATGTGCAAATTCTGATTTCCAGTATCAAAAAACTTGATCATTGATGCTTTGTGATAAAAGGGCTAAAAGTCTTCAAATAATTTTTTTCTGATTTAATACTTTGAAATATATTTTGGATGTCTACCGACAATTGTTAAAATGCATCCATACAATATGTGTTCTTAACTATTTTCTCGAAGAAAGATTACTATACCAGATATAGATTCTACAATTTCAAAGAAAAACCAAAATATTATATAAAATGACAAAGTCGTTTGAAAAACATCATCCAGGGTAGTGGGTAAATAATTTTTTTAAGAAATCGACATGTAAGATAAAAGATATCAGAGACTTGTCTTTATCAGGTTTCCAAGTTTTATATTTTTTTCGGTTTTACAAACTCATAACATGTTACATTTTCTAGCAAACAAATATATGGGTTGGGGTAGAATTAAAGTGTACATAATTTACTCACTTTCGTAATTGTCATCAATTGAAAGACTGTTTGAATATTCATCAAACCCATATGAACATCTATATTCGTGGTTTATGTCTTCTATAGAAAAATGTTTAATTGTAACACTGAATCCATTATCATTAATCTCAGATAAGTACTTTGATGGATCAAAAGAAACTCCATCTACGGAGAGTATCTTATGATCTGGTCCTCCAAACCATGTCCTTCTCCTGGTGGTATTCATACTCTTGACTGTTAGGGCAGAAGTATTACAGATGAGTTTCACATCTCGACCAAAAACAACTGGTAGTTCTGATATTTCCCATTTGACTAAAACGATTTTAAGATTAAATGGAGAAACGCATCATATGATACATCTTATTTGTCCATGGTGATTTTTTTCATTATTTGGTATATCAGTTTACTCTTGAAATGTTATGTATGCACCCTTTTCTGTTAATTCATTGTTACAATAATGCTGATTAAATCGATCTTTTCCTACCAAAAAGAACACGCTTTTTTGGTAACGTAACGTCTGAATATTTTTGAAATAATGGATTTGTTTCGAATTGTTTAAACATTCTCGTTTTTCAATATACATGGTGTACACGCTCAAAAAGTGGCTTGGAATTATCATGAGTACTTATATATAATTTGTTCATACAATGCACTTTTCTGGGGAAACCTTCATTAGTAAACCTAAACTCTTGAAAGCAAATAATGTATAAATACCTAAATACGCGAGTAGATATATATAGTCATGGACTAGAAGTTTTTTTAATTGATTCAAAATGAATAAAATATTATATTTTTTCCTGACAGAAAAAAAAAGACATGGAATATTTGTGTAATCAGGAACAGGTATAATTGATTTGGTATAACCCAGTGTCAAGAGGAATTTCTAGTAGTCGGAACAAATATATGTTGACCATTAGATCAAAAGTGATCTTGTTCATGTTAAAAGAAAAACCAAAGCCATAGATATGTATAAGGACAACTTATCAATCTTCTACGAAATTTCTAAATTAGGGTTAAACGCTTCACATAATTATTAGAATATATTGAAATTATTGATATTTGAACTTACTCGTGCAGTTTATAAATGGAAGGATCATCAAAAGAAGGACTAACATCTTGATCAAGGTATCCATCTGAAATGATTTTTTTGCATTAAACCAAGTAAAAAGATTTGTTTTATTAACACACGTGTGTGTGTGTGTGAATTTGTTTAACTCATTCATAGTAATTTATGAATTATCGAATTATACAACAAGACATTCAAAGTAGGCATACTTTTACAGTTGCATCTCTGTTTTGAATTCAAAATATATACTAACAATGTTTGGAATATTGTACTGTGTTGAATTTATGTCACATGTTAATGTGCGACCTGAAATATTCCTTTGCTTAATATTATGGTTGATTTCTTGTTTCTTTTAGTATTTTTTCTATGAAATATTCTATAACACAAACAGGATACATGTACAATGCTACCGCTGCAAACGTATACTTTACTTATGTTTTAAAGGTTTAAACGTATACTATGTCGAATAACATACACGATACCAATGTTACTGGACTAGATGCGCATTTGGGTAAAACATATCTCATCAGGGATGCTCCTTGCCATAATATTTGAAAGTCTATAACTTTAAAAAAAAATTGTAAACGGTAATAAAGTATATATGTGTATTACAAATGTATTGAGTATCAGTAGGTTGCCTTTCTGTAAATATAGACAATGCAATTTCCCATAGGAACTCCTTTTACGGCTAAAACTGTACCACTTTTACTATGAAGTTTCGAAAAATATATATCCTAGAATGGAACGCTCATATGCACTGCTCATGCTACTATATTTTTCAAAGGTCAAAATATAGGGCTGTGCGGCATATTTTCAACATTTTTATATGCCCGAACTTCTAAGAGTTTAAACTTGTACTTAAATTATGTACTACCCCTACTTTCACTTTTGGGGACCCTTGGAATTCAAGGCTGTCGCTATATTTTTTATTTTATACTGGTAACCTTCCCAAATTATGTCTCTATGAGATGAAACATATACTCATATTTGGGAACCAGTACGTAAACAAATCAATCTATGAATATTATATATCTCCCCAAAAGAGGCGTGATTTGTGAAACAGCTGAATTTACAAAGTGCAGCCTAGTAAGATAATAAACTGATTTTTAGTTTGTACTTAAGCAATCGTGTTAGAGGAAAAATGACAGCCGTAGTTGCAGGAAATGAAATGAAATGAAGCACTTTTTTCAAATCATAAATGCCGATAAAAAAAACTTAATTCAAACTTCTTCCACGATGATAGTCTACTAGTAAAAATATAGACGATTACCACAACTAATTGTACCTCTTCTATACATTTGCAGGTCCCCTATATGCATTTACTATCGTAACATGGAAATTCTAATGCAATCTTTATGTAACACGCTTTCTCATTGGCTCTTGTCAAGCGTACAATGACAATGTACCCGTCGGAGCCGCTTCACAAAATTTCTTGCGTATGAATCTTGTGACATAAATACTTTGCACAACAATAACAATGGCTACGTCAGATGACGATTTTCACATGTCAGATCTGGATGACCTGGATCTTTTGGGACCGTTAATGTCAAATTTTGACTTGGAAGCAGATATACTGGAAGGTTTAGAGTCAACTGATTTAAATGTATCCAATGAAAATAATAGGGAAGTGTCAGACTCTGATAAACAACCTACGGCAGTGCCAGAGGAATTCACAGCAGACGACGTAAACACAAGTGGTGTTTTTGGTGATGATACAACTGATGGAGTTGCTTGTAGGTTTCTTATGAACAATTTCTAAGCAGATTTTAATCTGCACAGCTTATACCTTGACCCTTTTATACTTCACCATCATTTCTTCCTTGAGCATGTCAATCATTTTTTAACAACCAACATCCCGTAACAATAAACGGGAACCATTCAGGCTTTCTTTGTTTTTGCACTTCATAATTCACTTTCCCTTAAAAATGCATGTTCTAAAATTGATCACTGTCAGTTGTTTCAACCTTTTTATTACTTCCTCTGTCAAATTAAAATGATCTTTGCCTTTGGGAAAAAAGGGGGGGATCTATGTCAAATCAAATTGGGATTTGCCTTTGGGGGAAAAAGGGGGGGAGGTGCTAAAGGGGTTATTCAGGAGATAACGCAAAGTTTCAAATTAAGAGATAACTGTATTGTATTTGAAGCTTTGCGGACGTCCATCGGTAGTTTTACTGTCGCAAATTTAGTTTACCTGTCGACGCGTAGCGGAGACAGGTAAACGGGTATTTGCGACAGTAAAACTACCGATTGACGTCTGCAAAGCTTCAAATACAATACAGTTATCTCTATGCAAAACAAGTACAAAACTCAATTTCAATCATTATTTCAGTGTAATATTTTCATTAAAGAAAATTCCGCGAAAAGATGTTATCTTCAGTGGCCCCTAAACTAGGTGACGTCATAGGTATGCTTCCGGCGTCAAACGTAAACACTGGGCGTTTTTTCTGGCTTCTTGACCGCTTCAGAATGTAATAAAATTTCATAAAAAAGAAGATTTCTAGGTGCAACATGCGAGTTTTTTGCTTATTATTGTAGAAATTACATGTCAATACATTCCGCAATTCAAAATGTCGGCTTCTTTAGTTACAGACAGGGAGATAGAGAATTTTACGCTTACTGTCATCCAGTCAGAACCATTGATACAAAATAATTGCATTAGAATACAGTTATCTCTTTTCTAATGCAAAACAAATTCATAGTTAAATTTCAATCATTATTTCAGAGTAAAATTTTCATTAAAGAAAATTCCGTGAAAAGATGTTACTTTCTTTGGTCCCTAAACTAGGTGACGTCATAAGTATGCTTCTGGTGTCAAAATAAAAACCAGGCGTTTTCTGGCTTCTTGAATAAAAAAAATTACTTTTAAAAAAGTTTACACGTTAATTGACAAATAAATAGCCAGTTAATAATTTGACCCTAGTCATATTTTTTTACAGTGGAACTAGTGAATGAACCAGAAAAAGACCAAGACTTAATTGAAATGATGGAGGTTGTTGAAGGTATAACAACAGAAGAAAACAAAGAAAAGCCAAGTGGGAGGTTCCCGAAACTATCATCTGATGACAAAGAAAATATACTTGATGAGGCGCTTAGTAAATCAACCAAGAAAAACACAAAATATGGAGTGAAGATATTTAGGCGTATGTGTTAAAATAAAAATAAATTGATGTATAAAGATTTGTATATATTTCTTTTCCTCTTCAAAAAAAAGTAAGACAAAGAAATGAAATATAGTCATAATCAAAATCTATCCAGCTATCCACTTTCACTGCTTACTGTCTATTTTGGTCATGGAATCCCGTCCAAAAGACTAAACTTTTTACATTGCAAACGCTAAATGGGTGCAATTGCGGGTGTTTATTGTACAATTTTACATTATGTTTTCGTCTTATATTTCCGCATGCATAAGATGAAAATTTCTGTTCACTAATAATTTCATGAAATTTGCTGAATTAAAAATACCGTTATACATCCCAACATCATGTTTGCACAAGTATCTTCCTAATAGTATTAGATGCCTTGAAATCCACAATCAATTCAACTACCAATTATAAAACTTCCTCACTTTCTATAATGGTTATTAGCATACATGTATATGCACATGTTTCATAACACTTTATCTTGAGCAACTGGTCCATTCTATTTATAGATTTTGTTGTGTCAAAAAAACGATATAAACATTTTGATGTTTTCTTCTGTCTCGTCTTCCAATATTGCCTGTTATTTGTATTTCCCACATCCAATTGAATCATGTGTTGTAATTGTATGTTATATGTTCATCATTTGCATGCTGCTTAGTTTTACGGAGTTTTCGAGACTTCCATTTTTATCTAGCACCTGCAAAATAAATATAGAAGTTAATTTTAGTCAATTTTTTTTATGTTAATTAAAACAAGAAAAGAAAATTACACTACACAATGTTTAATTCTTCAACAATTTACATGCTACATCATACAATGTCATAGGTAAATTTTCCTTGTTAAACGTAAACAAAAGTGTTTTCTTGAATCAAGAACGCATGAAAAACATTAACAAAAAAAAACATTTTTGGTAAAAAATGCAAGTTTTTAGATGAATATTGAAAAAATAAATTGAAGAGATAACTGTATTGTATTTGAAGCTTTGTGGACATCCATCCGAAGTTTTACTGTCGCAAAATGAGTTTACCTGTCAGTCTTTACTTAATAAAATTTGGAAAAAATTGCTTTAAATTATTATAAATAGGAAACAAGTGTGGCCTAGATTTTTTGCCACATGCATATAAAGTATAACAAATACATGTATCATAACTCTAAATTTCAGAGTGGTTAACTGATAGAGAGAAAGATGCAACCTTTGAAAATTATACAGTTGAACAATTGAATTGTGCCTTGACTGAATTCTATGCTGAGGTCCGTAATACAGACGGAGAATATTATGCCAAGAGTACTTTAGTTGGTATCCGGGCATCTATTAATAGACACCTCAGGGCACCACCTTTTAGTAAGACATATTCCATCCTGTCTGATGATTCTGCCTTTCTTAAATCAAATAAAATGTTTTTGGCCATGATTAAGAAGGTTCAGAGGGAAGGAATGGACAGGACCAAGCATCACCCATCCATTTCTGAAGGTGATTTGCATAAACTGAGGTCATCAGATGCCTTATCAACTCAAAACCCTAAGACTCTTCAAAGAAAAATCTGGTTTGACCTAGTTTTAAGTTTTGGAAGGAGGGGCCGGGAAAACCAAAGGTTTTTCACTGATAAAACCTTTGTTGTTAAATCAGATGATTGTGGTCGTCGTTTTGTAGAAATGGCAGTGAGTGAGACAACAAAAAATCATAAAGGGGGATTAGATGACAATCAAAACATTATAAAACCCAGGATGTACGAAACAAAAAAGCCTGACTGTCCTGTTGCTGCCTTGACAAAATATCTATCCAAGAGGAACCCTACATCAAGTATATTCTTTCAACAACCTCGAGTAAAAGTAAATGACGAGGACGAGATGTGGTATACCTCAAGGCCTGTTGGGGAAAGACTTTTGAACAACATGATGGTCGACATATCAAAAAGTGCTGGACTAAGTCAGATTTACACCAACCATTGTGTCAGGGCAACAACTGTGACTGTTTTGGCACAATCAGGTGTTCCAAAGACAGATATAATGAAAATAACAGGACACAAGTCAGAGGCCAGTTTAGAATCCTATTATCAGGACTCCTCCGAGAAACAGAAGAGGCAGTATTCTGCCATTCTACTTGGCAATTCCGAAAATTGCAGTGATAAATCCGGCTCAACCGCACCAGTGCCAATTTGTACACAGCCCAATGCAATGCCCTTGCCGCCAAACCCAGCCCCTTCCTTCAACGCGCACTGTTTGAATTTGACCAACACACATATTAACAATCAACTGTCGTTACCTGTTCTGTATAACAAGCAGTTTGAGGTCCATAATTCAACTGTCCAAGTCTTCAATTACAACATTACAGGGAACGCTGCACAGCCATAGACTTTGTTGTTCATCTCCTTCGTCCGAATTCGTGATCGGCCATGACACTTGATCATATTCTAAAAATATCCGAGGGGATTTGGAATTTACGTAGAAAACTTTTATTATTTCTTGTTTAATAAATTGAGAATTTTCTTGAAAGTATAGTTTTTAACCTCTCATACTTTGAAATAAAAAATTAATTCACGCAATCTTAACTTGGACTTCAGGTAAAAGAACTATTTCTTGGCGGATGGATAATGTAAATAGCCATGAAATGAACATTGTAAACATTCAAATTGGATCAATAACACTAGGTTAGGAGAACTTGCATTAGAATAGAGATAACCGTATTGTATTTGAAGCTTTGCGGACGTCCATCGGTAGTTGTACTGTCGCAAATATCCGTTTACCTGTCTCCGCTCCGCGTCGCCAGGTAAACTCAATTTGCGACAGTACAACTACCGATGGACGTCCGCAAAGCTTCAAATACAATACAGTTATCTCTTAATTAGTGAATTTTTGAGCTGAACACTGTACACTACAACTGGACATAAGTTACTGAAAGACTATTGCTTAGCTCATTTAACTCTGCTTCAAAAAACTATTTGCAGATATTTGCAGTAAGTAATTTAAAGCCTTATTTGGCATGATGAAAGAAATATATACAAATGATCTTTCTAGAACACTGACAAAGTTATTGGGTACTTTTCTCCATTACATCACATATGAATAAATGTTACGGCAATAAAATTTGTGGATGGTTATAAAAAGTGCTATATGACACCGATAACATCGAATAGACATATGGTTATGAATAGCAGTTTATGTAAAACACAATGATGAAACGTCTATTGTCCTTTTGATATAAATATATTTTTACAATCTCCGTTATTTTAATAGTACTGTGGGTACAAATAATCAAGAATTACCTAACTGTTCTTCAGAAATATACATATAATACTTACTTGAAATAGGTTTGATGTGAACAGCGATAATTGTCCTCCACTTAATCTGGATGCTTCTTTTCCAAAACTCTATTAAACATTTTCTTATCCATATCTTGCTCGGTGAAAATCAAATAATCCTTTGTTATGGTGAATGTATCTCTAAACTATTTCCCCATGATTAGGTCTGATGTGAAGTCTTTATATTTCAGTCAGTAAGTAAGTTATTTTATTGTATACGGGTTGTCTAATATATATTTGATCAAATTAATCCTATACAATCACTTAATTTTGTAATCATAATGATTTTCAAACTTTTGATTGAATGCTTTTACATGAAGTCTTTGTGGTGTTTTGTTGGTTGTAGAAACAAAGATCTTTTAAATGTACAGAAGACTACTCTGATACTTAAATAAATCAGTCACCAGTTGCCTCTTTCTGAAGAAATACAATCCGTGTGGTCTATTGTGTTACAAGGCATGTACACTGAACAATCTGTATTGCCTAAATTCAAATAAAGACGACAAGAATAATGTTAAACGGTTAATGTTGGTGCTCTATGACTAACCTTGTCAACTGAAATAAATTTTGTTTTGTAAAAAAAAAGGTATGTTAAATCCTTAACATATCTAGTGTTATTTCCAATTAGAAAAAGTCTGGACAATATTTCAGACAGACTTTCGAAATATTTAGTCATTCGTGTATATAAAATTCAATACAGTGATGGCATATTTTTATATATATGATACGACCTGGATTTTTGTTTCGCCTTCGACGTATGCGAGATATAGGTATTACTATCCGGCGGCGTCGGCGGCGGCTGCGGCGTAAACTATTTATGTACAGCTTTATATTTCAAAAGGTAGAAGACCTGGATGCTTCATAACTTGTATGCTGATAGCTTATGTTACAAAGTTTTCGTCAAACATATGTCCATTGTCCTTGACCTTGCAACGTCTTCATGGTTCAGCGACTGCATGAACAAAAATTGTCATGTGAATTTCTCACTTATTATGAGTATTGGGATAACTATATTTGGTATATAAGTGATCAAAGTTAAAGTTACGTGATTATGTCTGTTTCTCAGATACTATAAGCAGTAGGTAAACTTTATTTGTTGTATGGAATGATTGTAATTGGTACATGTCATTCTCGCAGGTTTCATCTGACTTTGACCTGATTTAATGGTTCATTGGTCAATGTTAAGTTTTTGTGTTTTGGTCTGTTTTTCAAGTACTATAATCAAGAGTTCAACTATTTTTTGTGTATGGAACGATTGTAAGGTGTACATGTCTGTCGGCAGGTATCATCTGTCCTTGACCTTTTTTCATGGTTAATTGGTCAATGTTGTCAAGTATTTTAAGCAGAAGTGAAACTATACTTGTTGTATGGAATGATTGTAATGGGTACATGACAATCTGGTAGGTTTCATCTGACCTTGACCTCATTTGCAGGGTTCCATTGTCAATGTTAAGTTTTTGCTTTTTATTGTTCTATTTTTCAAATACTAATAGCAATAGATCAGCTATATTTGGTGTATGGAATAATTGTAAGGTCCACATGTCTGTCTTGCAAGCATAATCTGACCTTGACCTCATTTTCATGGTTCAATGGTCAGTGTTAATGTCTGTCTGACACGAATTACCTGACCTTGTCCTCATTGTCATAGGTCTTTAAAAATGTTAAGCTTCTGTAATGCTATTAGTAAAACTTATATTTTTAAGACTTTCAACATAAAATCAATTGTCAGTAAAGCAAACGAGAAATTTCAGCGTGTGCACTCTTGTTTTTCCTATAGATTCATCCTTTTCATTTTAAAAATTAGTTTGTATAACTATAGGTTAAACTCTACAATTGTTTTGATTTTTACACACCTTTGATGACACCTCTTTGTCTAAGTTATATCGAATATAATTAATATAAGACACGCCGTGCACATATCCTAATGTTGTTTTTTTTTCATTGAAATTCAATGGTGTTAATATCTATTTATGTTATTCAAGGAACATTGATATAACCTACTTCCGCGTTACAACAATTCTAAGATAAGGTATATCATTGTTTAACTTATAATGTTTGTGGGACTTTTCAGAAATCCAAATTTTTATTTGAAAACTGCTAAATGAAGACTACTGTATAACCGAAATCATTAATGGGTGTAGGTACGATGTATAAACATAAATAAAATAAAATCATATTTGAGATCTAAAAGAAATGAAACTTAAAACAAATTAAGTATTTTGATGCAGTCACACCTTGCTTATACATTCAAAATTTGATACTATTGCATGCTTTAGAAAGAGTTACTATTTGCATGCAATTTGAATTTACCACAGTCTGGAATTAAAATAAATCTAATAGCAAAAACAACTGTTTTCGATTTTTTTTTATTATCGACCCCACGGCGTTCGAAATTATCGATATGCATAAACATCTCATTTTGAGGTACTTTTTCAGGCTTAAAACTACCATCAATGCAACATCCCCAAATAAACACCATTCTTCACTCAACAAAACTATTATCAATACAACTTAGTTGAAAGATGTCATATATGTCATAGGGGTATGATAAAAGCATGACATTCTGTTACTATACTTGTCGCCATGAAGTACGACTTGATAGGGAAAGACAAATATATATATACAAAATGTATAGCTCTTACTCATTTCCTCAACTTATGAATTAGAAATTGCAAAGGATCTGCAGTAGTATAAATTTAATACTAGGTCAGGTAGATTAAAATGTCGCATTTGAGTATTTATCAATTAACCATTTTCCTGATAGATGCAAACGCCACGACGGAAGGGACATTTATGAAAATCAATCCTACAAATGCATTTATCCATTAAAGTTGAATACTTTCGATACTTTTATTCATATTGCACATCAATATAATATAAAAATCACAAAATTTAACGTATATTTCCATTACAAGACAAAAGTTTTCCGAAAGCAAAAGTAGAAGTAACTTTATTTGTTTTTTCCATTTAAAGTTTAGTTCCTTTTTAAATAAAAATCTTTAAAAATATGTTATTGTGCTCATTATTTTTTATCTCTATATTCAAATATATTATAAACAAGGGAATGCATATGTATCATATTAAAACAAAATAAATCGGTTACAAAACACTTAACTTTTATTCTTCAAAAGTTACTTTTCATTTTTACCATCGATTAAACGATTGGGTTCGTTTTGAACAATCTATATATTGTACTATATGATATTTTGTAAATTATTGTTGGTCATATCTATATAATTCATTTAAGGTTCATCGACACATTCGAAATGAGAAGCTTGTTATCATTATGACAAATTCACTAACATGGATAAACACTATCCAAACAATGTAATGATGAAAAACAATTTAAACGATCACTTCTGAAGTTCATCCGAATACTTTAGAAATAAATATATAGGCATGGAACATTCGTCAAGTTTTCAAAGATCAGAAATCAAAAGATTAAAAATTTACCTACCAATAACAAGTAGCTTGTTGATCAGATTAAACGTCAATATATACTTTCTTCTTATCAACACGATCAATAATATCAGACGCACAGGTAATACACAAATGACATAAAATATATTACAGACTTTTTTAGCTGTGTTGAAGACCAATTGGTGGCTTTTAATTGTTTTCTGCTCTTAGGTAGGGTTGTTGTCTCTTTACCACATTCTCCATTTCCAGTCTCAATTTGATATAAATAATATTTACATTTAACAATATATTGATATTTCCGGAAAATATAAAACGAAAGTAAAAGTATCTGTTTATATTAACTGGTTTTCTATTAGGATAACAATTACAACAAAATTACTTCCATCGGGATTTTGTTAATACATCAGCAACAGTACAAAGCCTTTAAAAAAGAGTAACCTACCTGTTAACATGGTGAGACAGTGATGAAATGATAATTGGAAAGTCGTTTTATGTAACATGTACATTATCCTTATCTTTTTTAAATATAATTTTAGACTATTGGTTTTATCATGTAGTAGTAAAGGTGATACGGTAGTATTTACATTCAAGAATTTAGGTTGCTCGTTTGTGTACCCTACTTAAGTCAATGTATCTGAACAGTATGATTTGGGAAAAAAATACAATATCTACTGAACATACTTTAACAAACTGAGGGATGAATAAGGTGTAGAAAAATATGAATTTATTTTACATACAGGTGAAAATAAATATTTGAGAGGTTTTTAAAATTTTGTATTCATTGCATGATAAAAGACCTAAAAGCACTAGTGGCCTTAGGTTTATAAAGATAGCAAAAAGAGTAAAAGGTCATCATACATATTCAAATTATTTTTTGAATATTATAATGAAAGTACTTCAGTTAACCAGGAAATACTACCGTGACACCTTGACTGGTATATATATGATGTACACTAAA